AATATTACCGGTCAAATTTTGGATTTACTTCTTAGTTAAGAAGTTGATAGAATTTTTAACATGTCGATTTAAGAGTTCCCGCACCATATATTATTTATTTATTTAATTTTAATTTTAATTTTAATTTTTTGTTAAATTAGGGATTATGTGACAAAAAATACAGTAATCACTGTATATTCATCAGATGAAGAAAAAAGACATAAAAAAATAATTCAAAGATGTAAAGCACGTGGTTATTTTACATAAACCTAAAAATGTATATTTGTTCATTAAATTAGACCCTGAGTATAGACAAATTTTATTAAAATTAATATTGGCGGTTATTGTATTGACATTCGAATATTTAAAAAATACATTGTCGTTGAAATCTTCATTTTGCGAAATCAAAAAAATCTTTTGAAAAACGCCTCTGTTAAATTTCTCTTTAAATTTTCCATCCGAACTTTTGTTATACATATCTTTATACATGTATAGCGATAGGCATGTACGTACATGTATATCTGCACAAATATCAATATTGTATTAGTCAGTAACGAAACGAATCCCAAAAAGCATTTTTCGTTGTTCTTATTAGCAATTTAAAAATATGTGTTTTAGCGAGAATTTTGAAACATGCTTTCTTTGGAGAAAGCCATTGGCAACTAATTCATTAGAAGAGAAAGCATTAGAGGGTGAACGTATGCTTATCTTAGAGTAGTAGGTTATTTTAGAATATTTCAAGAAATTCCTAGATTTTTTGCGTGAGAATACTTCAGCTACGATGCTTTTTCTCACCTAGAAAATTTTCCCATGGCTGACATCAGTGAATCACTTTCACATTTTGCTTATACACTTCGATCCAACTGTTTCAGATTTTGAGGAATAAAATAATAAATAAAAATCATCCAAATGCTGACTGTAATTTCTGACCTTGATCCCTTTATTTCTCCAGTAAACAACAAAAAACTCCGTAATTTCGCTATAAAGCTTTTCAAGATTTACAAAACCAACAGAACCTCTATAGGTTGGTCGATATGGATCATCACCGTTATTTTACTTGGCGTTCGAATAAAAAGCGATGCCGGTAGAGGCAGGAGCGCTATTATTAAGAATGATAGGCCTGAAGTGAAAAGAGCTGGTGTTACGAAAGTTAATAAACAGAACGTTGCGGTATAGCGATAGTATTTGATTTTATATTCGTTGTTTGCATTATGGTTAAAATAAAAAGAATTCATCGAGTTTTGACTTTATTCTAGGTTGATCGTGTGTTTTATGAACGATTAAGAAAGCTATTGAAAATTGTGATTCCGGGATATAAATCAAAAGAGTTTTGGTTGTTGATTGTTCATTCTGGGTTTTTAGGTGATTTATTTGGATAAAAAAATACGCGAGTTTATCATTCATTTATAACTACTTCATTTTGAATTTTTACAGTATTACTCTCAGTCTACATAGCGACACTAGATGGTCGAATTGCTAGTGCATTGGTTATTAATTGTTGTATTATGATTTATTTTTTACTCGAGCGTACATATTTATATATAATATATTATTTTCTTTTTATAATTCATTGCTCGACTGGCAAACAAAACCCAAATCAGGTGCGAAAAAACTCTAAAGAATTTATGGGTGGAATTCTATTATGGATGTTTGTGGCTATACCTGCTACTTACACCAATAGTATGGTAAGTGAATAAAATAGATTTCTTATTTTATATTATTGATTCAATGATAATATTGTTATTTTTTAACACAATATACGTATATAGTTGACATATATGCAAAATAAGTTGGCAATACAATTTCGTACACGACTCGCAGACTATATTCACAATCAATACTTATCTGACATGACATTTTACACGATTGGGAATTTGGACGATCGAATTAAAAACGCTGAACAGTGAGCATATCGATATCTTGCAAGATTCAAATTTTAACTATTACTATCGTATTACAATTTTAAACTGAAATTTAGGTGTGTGACTGTAGATACCATGAAATTCTGTAACTCACTCTCCATTCTATACTCGAACCTTGCAAAACCAATCCTAGATGCATTTATCTATAACTTTCAGTTATCCCGAAGTGTGGGCAGTGAAGCGTTATTTAGTGTTTGTCTTATAATATACTTTTCGTCAATGTTACTACGAACGTTGACACCGTCTTTCGGGAAGATGGTAGCAGAGGAACAAAGACTAGAGGTACCAATTTTATACTGTTTCTGAATTTTAATTAATAAATTTACTTATTTGGTTGTATGATTATTGTAGAGTGAATTTCGATTCACTCATTCGCGTCTTATCGAAAATGCCGAAGAAATTGCACTATACGCCGGTCACTGTGTCGAAAAAACGATACTGGATCGAGCCTACTTTGCACTAATCAAACATATTAATAAAAGATTTAGGATGCGCATCTTTCATGGGATGATGGAAGATTTTATCATAAAATATTTTTGGGGAGCTATGGGACTTGTGTTATGTTCAGTGCCAGGTATAAAGAAGAGTGATCTTGGTAGTAGAACCGAAGGTGAGCAAAATTTTAAATTATATACATGCTTAATACCCAGATATGCTAACTACGTACACAGTCAACCTCGATATAACGGACCACCGATATAACGGATTTCGCTTAGTACGGATTTTTTTTGGGAACGAAAAGTTTCAATAATATGTATACCGGACTTTATTAATAATTGATTTTATAGCGGATCCGGACTAATTTGCTGAACGATCTAATAATGCTCTATGTTTGATACAACGGTTTTCATAAAACGGATTCCGATATAGTTAGACCGGATCCGAAATAGCTAGAGCGGATCCGAAATAGCTAGAACGGAATCCGGTATAATGTAATAATAATAACGGACTCCATTAAAGCTTCCACCAATCATTAAATTGTAATTATCATATTGCTAATTGTAGACTACGATTTTTTATGGCTACCGAAAATGAACTCGTTCCTCTTTCTCCTTCTTCCCTTTCTTCTTCTTCCCACTTTTCACTTACTCCAATACCAAACAACCGAGCTTCAGATAAGCGAAAAGCAGCAGCAACTAATTTAACTGAAAAGACAAAAAAAGTTCGTGTTTCATTAACAGCACTTCAAAAAAAAGAAATTTGTGAACGTCTTGCAAATGACAAGACATTAAAACAAAAAGATATCGCTGTTGAGTATGAAATATCAAAGCAATCCGTTTCTGATATCGTCAAAGCAAAAGAGCAATGGTTGAAAATTGAATCAGGAATACCTTTAGCTGAATCCAAATGTGCCTGAAGAGCAACCTTTGAAAATGTTGAAGAAGCAATGAAAATTTGGGTGGAAAATGTACTAGCACAAAGTGACTTGGATTTGAGTGACAGTTTGTTAATGGAAAAAGCCTTGTTATTTGCTGAAGAATTCGAGGTTTCTGATAAGTTTGTAGCTTCTGCAGGTTGGATCAACAATTTCAAACAATGAAACAATCTAAAGTCCTACAAAAAACGTGGTGAATCTGGCAGTGTCAATATAGACGAGATTCCAAAGTTTCGTGAGCAACTTCAAGACATAATCAAAGACTACGAATCTCAAGATGTGTTCAACTGTGACGAGACAGCATTGTATTGGATGCTTGAACCTAGTCGAACTCTAGCATATAGTCCAGTTAAAGGAAAGAAGAAATCAAAAGACTGAGTATCATTGCTAGTAATAACAAATGCAATAGGAGATGAAAAATTACTGATTTTATTTATCCACAAATACGAAACGCCACGTGCTCTCAGGGGGATTAATAAATCCACTCTTCCAATATGGTACTATTGGAACACAAAAGCGTGGATGCAAAGGTCTATTTTTAGATCTTACCTTAATCGGCTTAATTCCCAGATGCGCATTGCAAATCGGAAGATTCTTCTTTTAATGGACAATGCAAAATGTCATGAAGCTGACAATATTAACGAATTATCTAATATCCAGATTCACTTTTTACCTCCCAATACTACTTCGATTATTCAACCTCTGGATTAAGGAATATTGTATAGTTTAAAGGTTAGTAATTTTTATTAATGTGCTTTATTATTATTCTGTTATTAACACTATTTATAATTAAGGCGCAATACAAAAAAATTCTATGTTTAGAAAAAATTGCGGCCTATGAAAAATTAATTGATCAAGAAGGTGAACTTCGAAAAACTTCTATCTATGATGCTATTTTATATATCAGTCATGCATGAAATATTGTCTTTTCAGAGACAATTAAACATAGCTGGACACAGTCTGGTATTCTTCCACCTTCTTTTTCATCTGAATTATTACGCAGTCTATCAACTTTTAATGAAGAAGAAGAAGTTGATATTATTGATCTTTGAGAATCCGAATCTCAACAGTTAGAGCATGAATTAGATCAACTAATTCAATGGCTGCCCATTACGGAACCACTTTCTGCGCATGAATTTATATGTATTGATGATAATATTGACCATGAAGAGATTGATATAAAGGAAATTGTTGATGTAGTACTTGGGAAAGGATTGGAAAACGAACCTGATGATAAAGATGAAAGCGAGGAAGAAATTTCTATTGGTGAAGCTTTAAATAGTACTAAAATTCTTATTACATTCATCAAGCAGTCTGAATGGGGTATTGACGCGAGTTTTTATCATAATTTGATAAAATTAGAAAAGGAGATTATTGTCAAAAGTATAGCTGAAAAAAAAACAGACTAGTATCGATCAATTTTTTATTTCAGACGAGTTTTAATTTTGTTATTACGACTTAATAAATAAGAATCGATATAACGGATTTTTTCTTTTTATATAGTAAGTCCAGTATAATGAAAACCCTTAATTAGCCGGACTCCTTGATATATCGGACCAAACAGTGTGAACGGAGTGGTCCGTTATATCGAGGTTGACTGTGTATTAACATATTTCTTCTTTAATCTTTTAAGGAGTTATGACTAATCGTCGATTGCTATTAAATGCTTCTGATGCTTTTGGTCGTATAATGTACGCTTACAAGGAAATCTCTGAGCTAGCTGGATATACTGCCCGTGTATGCTACTACAATCATCATGTTTTGGACAAGACTTGTTACTATGATTCATGTTAACCGAAATGATAAATAGCTATCTGAACTTCTTGACGTATTTGAAGACGTAAAAGCCGGTCATTTCCGTAAGCAGATAGCCACCTCCGCAAGACAACCAGAAATATTATCTAGCCGTGGCGAAGTTATTGAAAGTGAGAACATACAATTTGACAATGTCCCGATTGTGTTGCCGAATGGCGAGATTCTATTACGAAGTTTAAGTTTTTGTGTAAAACCTGGCATGCATTTGTTAATTGTTGGCCCGAACGGGTGCGGGAAGAGTAGTCTTTTCAGAATTTTAGGTGGGCTGTGGCCTGTTTATGGTAAGGATCATTAATTTTTCATTATTCATTAATTCTTAAGAATCACATTCTTCAATTTTCTAGGTGGCACTGTACATAAGCCAGGTTCGAAAGATATATTCTATATTCCGCAACGACCATATTTGTCATTGGGAACTTTACGTGATCAGTAAGTAAAGAACCTATCATATTCGAAACAACAATATTAAAAATTTATTTCGCTAATTTTATATTTTGTTTTTATAAGAATCATTTATCCACATACAGTCCAAGAGATGCATGAACGTAAGTAGTTAAATCCTCGGATTACGTTGATAACTATATATAACATTAATTTGACAACCCAGGAGGTTATACAGACAAAAAGTTGCAAGAGATTCTAGAAATTGTACAGTTAAATAGAATTGCAAAACAGGAAGGTGTTTGGAATAAAGAACGAGAATGGAAAGATATTTTAGCTGGTGGTGATAAACAAAAGGTATTTGTTAATTCGTTTTTATTAATTATCGGGGAAATTACGTATGTCGATATTGAACGTTTATTTAGATAGCAATGGCACGATTATTTTATCATAGTCCAAGATACGCAATATTGGATGAATGTAAGTTATAACTACAGTAAATTTATTGAATACTGTATACAGTATCGATATTGTTACTATCGTTATTAATAGGTACGAATGCTGTAAGCATAGATGTTGAAAAAATAATGTTCACATATGCAACAGGTATGAGTTTATTTTTACATGTATTTGCTTCTATATATACATGTAAATGAAAAACCAACTACGTACTTTCTTTTTTGAAACAGAACTCAACATTTCCTTATTGACTGTATCGCATCGTCCATCACTATGGAAATATCACAACTTTATTCTACAAGTATGTACGCAAGTATTCTTCTATAATAAACTTTTTTCATCAAGGCAATTTAATAACGTGTAACCTTAATGTTAGTATGACGGGCAAGGCAGCTACGTATTCACAAAACTAGATGCTGAGCGCAGATTAGCTCTACAAGAAGAGAAACAAATGCTCGAGCAAAAATTGGTCGAGGCACCGAGATTGCAAAAAAGGTTAGACGAACTGAAATTGATGTTAACCGAACGAGATTCTTTGAGTTATAGTGCGACTACTACGCCGTATCATCAAGAAGGAGATATAGTACCTTTTAGTCTCTCATAGTATAGATTTTATATTCTCGGTTTTGCTTCACGAGCAAAGCTGTTATAGACTAAAATAAAATTATTAAGGGTTTATAAATCAGCGACATGGCGTTGAAAGCTGGACCCCAAATTAGTGACCTTAAAATTTTAGGACCCGTTACCCTAACCCCATGCTATGACGCATCATTATTAGCATTCTGTTTCAAATCTATTACGTAGTTTGCACTTTTTAAAGCGCTACAATCTATACTGTATTTTAGTATGCATCTTAACGTTATCGTTATGTTTATTGTTACCACAAACGTTTGCTATGATCTCGTATACGGGCAAAATAAACGAATAGAGAACAGTATATCTTTGCTCCATAAAATTCTTCATTTATACTAATAATTTCACATGAAAAATGACATATTTCTCAAAATATAATTGTCCTATTTGACTTGTACAGTATAAACAAGAACAGATCTATTGCTTGAAAATTTGAACGAACCAACCACTGTCTAATAAAAAAGTCTATAGAGAATACTGGCGCTCAAAATTAAATGTCTCAATCATCTCCCCTGCTATATCATGACCGTGTTCTCGGGCTTTTTTATACCATTTTAAGGCCATATCAGAATCTTTTTCAATTCCGAATCCGTATTGATAACATTCAGCCAACTTAAAATGACCATGTTTGTCTCTAACTCAGCAGATTTCAAATACATTTCAAATGCTTTGTATTCATTTTCTACTGTTCCGGTTCCATAAAAGTAACATTTTGCGAGATGATTGTAAGCTGAAATTTTGCCAGATTCCGCTGATTTTTGGAAATATATGAAGGATCTATTCGGGTTTTTTAATATCTCGTATCCAAAATCATAAAAAAAATCAAGAGATGGGGAGTCAATATTGGATTCTTTAGTTTCTGCTGATTTCAAATACCACTCAAATGCTTTTTTTTCATCTTTTTGTATTCCAATACCGTTTTCGAAGCAATAACTGAGAAAGAGTTGTCCTAGCATATATCCATTTTCTGCTGATTTCAAATACCACTCAAATGCTTTTTTTTCATCTTTTTGTGTTCCAAAACCGTTTTCGAAACAATAACCGAGATTAGCTTGTCCTCGCGGATGTCCATTTTCTGCTGATTTCAAATACCATTCAAATGCTTTTTTTTCATCTTTTTGTGTTCCAATAGCATTTTGGTAACAATAACCAAGAGTTTCTTGTCCTTGCTCATCTCCATTTTCTGCTGATTTCAAATACCATTCAAATGCTTTTTTTTCATCTTTTTGTGTTCCAATACCGTTTTCGAAGCAATAACCGAGATTAGCTTGTCCTCGTGGATTTCCATTTTTTGCTGATTTCAAATACCACTCAAGTGCTTTTTTTTCATCTTTTTGTGTTCCGATACCGTTTTCGAAACAATAACCGAGATTAGCTTGTCCTCGCGGATTTCCATTTTCTGCTGATTCCAAATACCATTCAAATGCTTTTTTTTCATCTTTTTGTGTTCCAATAGCTTTAAGATAATAATAACCGATATTGTCTTGTCCTCGCGCATTTCCTTTTTCTGCTGATTTCAAATACCACTCAAATGCTTTTTTTTCATCTTTTTGTGTTCCAATAGCATTTCGATAGCAAAATCCAAGTAAACATTGTGCCAATGCGGTATTTTTGTTATTTTGTCTTGCAGAATATTCATAACTTTTAAAAGCAAGTTGATGATTCTGTTCGATTTTGATTCCGTAATGATAAAAAAATCCCAACAGTAATATAAATTGACTATTAACCTCAAAAAATTTTATAAATTTTACATTGTCGATAAAAAGCTCTTTTTGTTTTTCAAAGGTTGCTGTTAAATTTTGGGCTATATCATCCAATTCTTTGTTAGAATCGAATAAGTCCCGAAAGTTTGTCATTAATTCTTCGAGGCAAGCTTCAATATGTTGCATTTTTAATATATATGTTCATACAGTCAAACCTCGTCATAGTGAAGGTGTTCGGGCTATTAGTGAAAATTTTCAAAAATTCACTCTATTGAGAGTTTATTAATAATATCGAGAGGATTTAATATATATTGTTTTGAGCTCAACTTTACTATACCGAGAGTTTAATTAGTCCTTCGCTATATCGAGAGTTGACTGTAATAAATTTTAAAGATATGTTAGGTCACTTTTTTTAGTAAGATGGGTTTTTTTCGCAACGGTAAAGAATTTCACTACTAAAATCAATAACGACGTATCGGTATACGTACATGTAGCGATAGTGACACTTTGAACGTACATGTACCTGCTCATCGGAGTTTTATTTGTTTAGATGATTACGTAACGTTACGTAATACGTATCGGTATACATGTCGTTATGAAATCTTTTAGATGATTAACGTTTAGAGATCTCGACCTTAATAAATGAATCACGATGCGGTATGTACGCATATCGATATCGATATGCAAGCGGATGGATTATGTTTATTATTCAAAGAAATTTATGTAACGGTAATTAATAACTGTGGGAGATCATGATGAAAAACGGATTATGGTGAAAATTTTGGCAGATCATGAGATCATTGCAAGTCCGGTGATCTGTCCGAGAAACAAGCCAATAATAATAACGATAAGTAAATTTTTGACCAACCCGGTAAAACAAATCCGAAGCACGAACGTAAAAAATGAAAAATATGGAAAATGTATGCTTTAATTTATCTTTGAGCACTAATCAAAAACGTCAGGGAGGCTATTTTACATATACTTTAGTCCTCCACTCTAACCTAACCCTAACTCTAACGGTAAAATCAACCTTAGCTGTGATAACACGTATCACGTGTTCACAACGCTTTAGCGTATCCTAAATTCGCTCTTACACTGTCAAAGGTCACGTAATTCAGCACTGTCCGTAGGGTTCCCAAATCGAATTTTAGACATCAAATGGGACAAATTACGTGATTATTTTTCAACTTTGTCCTAGCAGACTATTAGTATTAGGTTGACGACGACCAAAAAGTCGATAAAGCTCAGTCTGTGAAAGCTTATTTGCTTGTGTCGACTACTCCATCTTTAATCATTGTATAACAGAATTTTGAGAGTATTCCAGTCAAACATACGAAAAGTGAGATGTGGCAAATATTCCATGATCGTCTTCATTGATGAAAGGCGGATATTGTAGAAATAGAGTGAATCGTTATTCAATAATTGGTGAATTTGAATTCGTTGTGGATTGCATATTTGTGGTATCATTTGCAACGAAAACTTCTAAACAAGATATAATGATTTATAAATGTATTAACATGAGAACTTTTAAATTTAAGCATAATAATTAATAACCTTAAAATTAGATATTCCTCTTTTTAGTCCATTAGATAATCACAATCGAATAATATTTTGCTCGCCAAGATGGACCTCATACCAAAAAATAAAAGCACCAGCTTTCTAAACACATTCGCTCAAGATTTCACCTGACTCATGAAAGATGAATCCCTATACGACTTGAAAATTATTCTTCCAAACGGGAAAACTATCTTAGGCCATAAATGAGTACGAGAAATTATCAGCATCTTTTTCTTTTATCGTTATGGTCGACTCGCTAATTTGTGATAAAAAATAGATTTTGCATAAAGGTTCATTTCATGAAGTTTCGTAGATTCTTCCAAAAATCGATAACATAGCTACAGAAACACAGAAATCCCGTTGGAGAAAATTATGGGCTCTACTTTTCTAGCCAAGCCATATCAAACGTTATTCTATCATGATACACTCAATGCATGCAACTGGGACAAATAGAGAAAATCTTTTGGCATTTATGCAACTTGTCAAAATACTTGAAATAAAGAACCCATGTTGGGGAAAATTAATCTGTAAATACGTACATGCTGCTGTTGATCTCTTAAATGATTACAATTCTTTGAATGCGAACGAAAGAAATACTTTAAACATTTTTACGACAAAGTTGCTCATGAATGTATTGAATTCCTTGAAAACAAAGATGCGCTTATCGAGAAAAATTTTAGTGCATTCAGCATGAAAAATCTATCACTCAATTCTTTCGACTATCTCATGAAAAATATTTATTTTAAGATCGAGGTGACCATTGAGAATAATTTGCTATAATTTACTTTAATACTAAAAATACTTTACTAATAATAAAATTATTTAGAACCCAACAACCCGCAATAATCAGGAGACAAAAAGTTCATCCTTATCATTAATTGGTTCAATTCTAATACATCCGATACTGTCAAACTCGAGGAAATTTGTTTCAAAATATCGAGTTTCGTTGACTCCGGCTGTAACTCTTGCAACAAAGGTTACATTTTTAAATAGCATCTCATAATTTTCTAATATTAAGTTCTTTTATATTTCTGATATCAAAAGGGTTTCGCCTGAAAATAGAACAAAACTTCCAGTCTTCACAAATAAATCGACGAATGAATATGAGAACATCAAGAATATAAAATTATACATCTCGTATCCAGTAGAATATGCCGAGTTTAAACGTGTCCTGGCGAATCGTATTCAGCAAGTTATGACGAATATGACGGATGAATAATCGTATCCAAGATGTGAAGAATCAAACATCTCGTATCCAGACACTAAGTCTATTGAATCACAAGTAGTACATGATTGCTAAAGTCAAATAGTAAATTCTGAAATAAATTCTTATACAACATATTTTAATCTTTGAAATTATATTATATTAGTATTAAAATCGTAAAAACTTGTAAAATTGAAGCTAGTGTTTCAGGCGAAACTATTCTTTAATTTCGCACCAAGTATTAACCAACCTAATTGGGCGAAACTAGTTCATTAATTGAAGCTGATCGTCTGTTTTTAAATTCTATATAAATAACGTTCTTCATTTTAGAAGTTCTTTCAGTCAATAATGAAGAGAAAAACTTCAAATAGCTGTGTGATATATACATTTCAATAAATGCAAGACCATTTTCCATTGACAACTATAAAAATACTCAAGAACAATGAATGTCAAATTTATTTGACAACTTGACACAGTTTTTAACTACTGTACTCTATATTCACTCTC